AGTAGTATCAGCCTGTGAGGTCCACCACAAACTTGCTCTCCCAGGCAATCAAGAAACTGGAGGCTCTCCAGAAAAGACTGACAATTAAGTTTCAATACTTTTACTAATTGGGTAAAGACCTTCCCCTTCAAGACAGAAAAGGCACAAAAAGTAATAAAAATCCTGCTTTATAAAATAATACCCAGGTTTGGCTTACCTAAAAATTTACCAATTAATAATGGTAAATAGCTGCCTTGACTCTTTCTCTAGCAGAACGCCTTGCTCTTGGAAAAGTTTTACACCTCAAAATAAAGCAAACTGTCAGCCCATACTCAGGAAATCTCTAAATAACACCTCACAAGCATTAGATGCTTTAATTTTTTTTTAAATTAAGTTAGGACCAAACTCTTAAAAATAGAACCACCATTAATTACTTATTGCTCCTGCTTCTCCATCACCTGGGTTATGAGAGATTCCCTGACATATGTTTACATAGCCAGGGTCTCTCCTAGATTGTTGGACAGGTTTGGAAACTATATACATTATCTTAAGATGCCATCTTGTTGGTCAATATAATCTTTACTTTGTTTTTCTCTTTGTGTCTCCTAACGTTTATGCTCTCTTATGCCTGCCAGCCTTCCTATAAAACCATACTGTGGGCCACTTGACTGACCCTTGGGAAGACTCTAACTGCTATACCCTACACCGCCCCTTATCAGCTTGCAGAAGCCAGAGCAGTCATCATCCCTTTTTCCTAACAGCAGTTACAGGCCCTATTTCAGGGGAGAAATACATAGGGAAAGGGTTAACATTAGGCAGGGAGAGATAAGGGACCTTCAGGGAGGCAGACTGCAACTGCAGGTGGGAGGCTAAAGCAGACGGGGTTCTCCCCTTATAAAATCCTTTATGGGCACCAAGGGCATAAGGCAGGGGGACCTAAGTGAGACAGGCAATGTAACCCTAAGACAACAGATGCGGGCCCTTGGCTTTACCTTAACCACCTTACACCACTGAGTCAGGGAGCGATAACATATGAATCTGACCACAGACACTCACCCCTTTAAACCAGGAGATGCAATATGGATAAAGGAGTGAAACCCTAAACCAAACCCTAAAACCCCCCTGGAGGGGCCCATTCACTGCCATTTTGTCCACCCCTACTGCAGTAAAGGTGGCCAAAGTGGGTCCCTGGATTCACTACAGCAGAGTGAAGCTGCCCTCTCGAAACTGGGAGTGTATTCCTGATTCATCAACGCTGTGCAAGCTGACCATAGGAAGAAGCGATCTGCAACTCCCCAGGCTCCAAAAGACTGGAGTCCTGCTAATCTACGTACGGCAAAAGCTTGAGGAATCCATGATCTGGCGAAACGAAAGACTGTCCTTATTTTCTATATCTGTTTCCTTACTCTGATGCACTGTCACGCTTTAGTTCTCACTATTATTGTGATTCTTGCTCTACTCTTTGCCATAAGATTGGCCAAGGCTGCCTGGCCAGCTGGAAATGTGGTGAGAGGTTTCTGTTGACACTCACCTTCCTTTTGTGGAAAGGATACTCATTGCCACTGACATGGGGCAACAATGGCCATTAGAGCCTAGAAAATTAGATCCCCACAAACCTTATAGTAAAAAAAACACCCCAGTCCTACTACTGGGGTTTGGCTTCTCAAGAGCTCAATTATTGGGAAAAACTGTCTTGAGTAGTGGGGAAAAAGTTCACTGTTGTCTCTTTTAAAAACTTAACATGCCTACGCCAAAGATTTTATAACTCAACTACCCGAAAAACCCAATTGTCGGGGGGGACCCCAGATCACCTTGAGCCAGATCCCCACCCCTTGTCTAACTTGTCTCATCTCTGAGAGGCCTGAGACAATGTCACAGCCATCAAATGGCAGGTCCAGGTGGACTATACTAGATCTGTGGAAGGACATCCTATATAATACTTCCCTCAGTCTGGTCAGGGTCATATGTGCTGGGAACTATTCATCCATCTTTCTTCCTGCTCCCACTTGCCAGAGGGAAATATTTGGGAGTCCAAGTGTATAGGGACAGGGAGACTCACAGGAAGCAGTGTGCCTTACAAATTGGCAATTAAAAAGATGATAAATGGCCTCCTGAGCATATAATCCAGTATTATGGCCCTGCCAACTGGGCAGAGGATGGGTCCTGGGGCTGCTGCACTCCCATTTATATGCTCGACCACATAATCAGACTGCAAGCAGTTGTAGAAATTATAACCAATGAAACTGCCAGAGCTCTTAACTTACTAGCCACACGGCAAACCAAAGTGCACAAGGCCATCTATCAAAATCGCTTCGCCTTAGATTACCTGCTTTGCTTCTGAGGGAGGTGTTTGTAGAAAACTTAACCTGAGCAACTGCTGCCTACAGAGAGATGATGAGGGAAAAGTCACAGAAGACATCACAGATCAAATGGGAAAGGTCGCTCAAGCCCCAGTCCAGACTTGGAATGGTTGGAAACCCGGGGAGTTATTTAGAGGATGGTTTTCAACTCTCAGGGGATTCAAAACCTTCGTGGGAATTACCCTTCTAATTTGGGGAGGGTGCTTAATCTTACCCTGCTTAGCTCCCTTGATTGTACAGTCTGTCTCCAGTCTCACTGAGGCCATGATTTAAAAAGGATGGCCATTCATGTAATAATGCTATAAAAATATAAACCTCTAAACCAAGATGATGCTCTTTGACCCAAAATAGAGGGTTTTGAGCATCAAAGGGGGCAATGTGGTAGGGTGCCCTCCCTAAGGAGAGAAAAAAGAGAGAGAAAAGAAAAAAAAATTCAAGGTAACCTGGCTATGTGCCTACTTCACAACAACCCTCATGACCTTGTAAACTGAGACTACTTAATATTGTGTGTGTTACCATATATGGGAGACAAAGAAATAGAAAATGTATTAAAAAAAAAAAAAACTGTGCCACGGGATGTTCCTTCGGGGCTCAGTTCTTCTGGTATGAACCCAACTGAGCAGTGCTGACAGGAATAAAGTTGCTTCCTGGAAAGAAAAGTCTCTGTGTGAGGACTCTGCGAGATTCCTGCTACATTGTATGTTGAGCCACAATGGAAGAAACCTTCAAATAAAACAGGAGGAAGAAATGCACTGAAATAATGCATCAGATAATGTAGGATAGCTGAGAAATCAAAGAAAACAAACTAAAGGGGCAGTGGCTGAAGATGCTTCACTGAAGTGAAAATACTGAACTGAGGAAAAATTGCCAGGTTTTGTAGTCAGCTGATGCTGCTAGTCAGCCAACCCAAACATGTGTTCAAAATAAAAATCTGCTTGCAACAGATTATTTTATTGTTTGGCTTCTTGTTTACCAGATGAAAATGAAATATGTGTATCCATGTGCTATATTTTACCTGGTGGTGAATGGATAGTAGGAGTGTGCAAAATGCTCTGCCGAATTCGCTAATATCAAAAACATCCCTTGACAATTGCAGGATTTGAGAATAAGTCATGCTGGTCCAGAAAACAGTGCAAAAGAGCTGTGTTGGAGAGAGTTTTGACATTTGCATACCAAATCACATTTATTAAACCAATGAATGCTCTTTCGCTAGAATGACTACATTTTAAACAGAAATGCCATCACTTTACAAAGCATTGCTTAATTGTCAGTGTACTCCCTTTTAAAAAGCCCTCCTTCCTTTTAGATAGACCGTGTATGTTGTAACTTTTTTTTGTGACTAGGTAATCATTATATAAACTACATTCTAAATGCATTAGGGATCATTGTGATTGGGAATTTTTTATGTCATAAATACCTCCTGGGTAGCAATTTTTGCAGAAAAGATCATTTTTAAGACCAAAATTGCTGTTATCTTAGAAACGGTTACCGTGACATGACATCAGGCAAATCAAAGTTAAAATTTTGATTCCAACAACTACTAGCGGTAGGATATATAACAAGTTTCTTATCTTTGTAAGCCTTAGATTCTTCATTGAGAAATATGACTAGTGATATTTAACTTATATATTTTTTGGAATAAAATAAAATAATTTATGTAACTGTCTATTATAATGACTGGAACAAGATAGTATGCATAACAAATGACAGCTCTTATGTTTGCATGTTTGATATTTCAGCACAATATTAAAAACAAAAATGGGTTTATCTATAAGTACATGCCTACTGATTAGTCCTCAGTGAGCCCAATAGTGAGAGATTTAAAAGTTAAAACTCATTTGCAACAGATAAAGAAGTAACTGCACTGAGAAAGAGGCATTCAAGTTTATTTTTTTCATTTTCCTAAATATATATTTCAAGGAAGATAAAAGCCCGAAAGTTATAAATACATCCCTGGGAATTCATACTCTTCCAGCTGATAAATGTGTCTTTTTAAGAGTTTGGTGAAGATTGTTCATTGTATTTTTGTTTTGACGAGAAAATTGTTGCTTCTCATCACACTTGACTGCTTGCAGGGCCCCTGAATAGGAAATTACCAATGCTGAGATTTGTATAATTTAAAGAAAGTATCGGGGCACAGTGCTTGAAAGGACATAACTAATAGAGACATACATTCAGTTAGTATAAGTAATCTTTTGATTTGCATAGTTTTATCTACAGAGTAATTATTTTGTTTCCTATTTCCTCTTTTGCACTCCTTTATAACTACATGCAAGGCACAGATTGAAGGTACAAAGAATTTCAATACCACACTTCTTCAGGACAATGTGCACGTCTTTAAATCTTAAAATAAGCACAAAAATTTCATATTCTATAAAAGAGGAGAAAAACACTTAAAAGTTCTGGTAGTGTTTAAAAAGGAAAACACGTGCATTTTCTGTTCAATATCAGCTTCTGTTAGTTAAAGCAGCTTCTCTTTTTTTCCCCTCACTCTGAAACTAGCTCCTGCAATTCGTAAAGAATCTAGTGATACTTTTGTAAATGAATCACTATTGCATTCGTACCATTAGCCTCTGAACAGATGTCAGAGTGTAAAGATTGGCTGCCTCTAGATCAAGTTGCTGCTGCCAACTCTCGCGAGCTTTGTCAGTAACAGTTGATTGTAATGTCAGTGCAGTCCAATTTACAGGCTGGAGCAGCAGCTGCATTCTGCATTTCCCTGAAGTATTCCATGACTTCCATTCCTTGCAAACTTTATCATCTTTTGTTGCAGTGAGTCAGGTAAGCTGCTCAGAATTTACGTGTTCGTGTAGAGATGCAACTTGCGGTGAACCTCATTCTGTAGGAGGATTGTTATCCCTTCACTGGTCTGCTGTGCCCCTTTGGTGCTCTGTGGAGGACAGTTATTGCAAATGGGACAGATGAAGCGAGCCAGCAGACACATGCATCAAATCTGCCTATTATTCAAGGAACGCAAACTGAGTCCATTTAACTGCTGAGAAAATAATGAATTTATTCAACTTTGTGTAAAGGACCGCAGCACTTGTGGAATCACTGTGATGTATGTTCTCAGGGCACTCCCTGAAGGAAATATTTTTATGCTCTATTTTGCCCTTAAAAGCACGATTTAGTGAATCTCTCCTGAAAAGGGTAATAAAAGTGGTCTTTGACCTGTCTTAGTCTATTTTTTTTCTTTTTTTCTTTTTTAAGTGGAAAGAAATGAATAGTCCTCTTATTGTCTGGCTTGACAGGGTACTTTTCTTAATCAACATTTTGTCATCTGAAACTTTACCAGTATCAAACTGGCAAAGAATGAGGTGTAAGTTTCTTGTATCTAAAAGAAAATTCTGTTTTCTAATTTCATTTACGAACTCCCCCCACCTTTGTCCTGTTTGTCCTCTTTTTTTTTTAATATGTGCATTTAAAGTATAGCAAAATATTGGAAATTTTCTATTATTACTATTATTATGGAAACAATTAGAAATATAGATTTTCTATTCATCCTGTCGTCTGGCAAATCTACTCTTATTTTGATGATATCAGTACTTATCTAATCAGAGTATTGAACATTGAGTGTAATATGTATGAATGATAAAAGTAAACTGAAATGTGAACAAAATTATTTCATTGTTTATGATTTCCATATATAATTTCCTTTTATTTCAAGAGTAGGCCTTCCCAATCTTTATGAGTGTATAACATAGTAATAAACTCAACCAGAAGTTTCTATCCCTAGTCTATGTAATATCTTCCATAATATAAACTATCTCATACTGATGGTAAGCTTAATTATATTTCATTTATGTAAATAGGAACTTTCTTAAGGATGAACATGAGTTTTTAAATGTCTTTATACTTTAAATGAAGATCTTCAGAAATTCTCTGTGATTTTGAAATAACATTATCTTTGAATGACAAATAAAATTTCTAATTGGATTTGCAAAGTTGTTTTATTCTCCTAGATTTGTTGTTCTTTCGTTGTTTTTTGTTTTTAATGCTCTGCTTCTTTAACCTTAAGAAACTGTTTGAGATCTATTCCACATTTCAGTTTTTGAAATATAAGTTAATAATATCTTAGCAAGTCACATCTTGTTTATAAATTTAGTTTCTGCTTTGAGTCGTTTTTTGATAAAAATTAATAACATGTTTAAATTACATGTTGTCTTCATACTGATGCTTTCATGCCAAAATCTGCTTATTCTTAGAAACTGAACTGTACAGGATGTTAGAGAATTATAGTTGAATAGATGTCAACCTAAGACCAGACTCAACTTTCAAAGACCCAAGTTATCTCTCTAATATTAAATGTTTGATTTATTCACACAAGGAAGACTTTGTGAATATTCTTCCGAGTTGAGGAGAGATACAGATCTTAACATTTCTAATACGTAACATCGTGTCTTCTATCTGTACACATTCTTTTATTGCCTAAAAGGTATCAGAAAGATCCCTGAAAGGCAGTGGTAGAGTCTATTATAAACAGACTTCCTCAATTGCCCACTTCAGATAGCCTGCAACAAAACAAGCTTTTTAGGTTTGGTATAAAGGTTTAACTGTCTTACTTTGGCCAAATACATCTTAGAGACGCTTGTTCTAGATCATATCATCTAGATGTCTCTTGCCCGACTATTTTAAGAAGCTTTATTTTTATATAGAAATACATATTATACTGTTTTTAAAAACGGAAATTACACTCAGAGAAAACTGTTATCAATATTTGCTTGACCGTGGGTGGCCAATTATTTTGAAAATGTGTTTGATAATCAACTATGGCAAATTTATGGCAAATAAATAGCTCTTTCTATCAATCGTTTTACACCCATGTCTTATAGCATAACATATTTCTTAAAATTGATGCTTTCAAAATTAAATCAAAAATCCAAAAAATGTATTTTTCGCCTTTTTTTATTTTTCAAAGTTTTACTATTCAAAGTTTAGAATATTTTCCAAAGATGGCCAGTAGATTTTGATATCCTAGAGCACTTGATATCCTTAGAATACTATAGTCTTAAATATCTTTCAGCTTTTTCCTCTTGCCACTTCCATCATTCAATTTCTTTTGCAATTCCAAACAAAAACTCCTGCCTTTCTTTCAAAAACTATGACAGTATGTTACATGATCTAAATTTAGATATTCAGTTGTTCTTGGTATGAAAATTTTCCCTATTCTTTATAGTAAACGTGTTATGTATTCTCAGAGTTTAAATTGTTTATTTAATGTGACATTAGCCAATTTGCACTAGAATTTATTGAAGAAAATGGTTTAATTATTAATAAAGATTTAGATATATATGGGGTGACTGGGTGGCTCAGCTGGTTAAGTGACCAACTTCGGCTCAAGTCATGATCTCACAGTCTGTGGGTTCGAACCCCACATGGGGCTCTGTGCTGACTCTTGGAGCCTGGAACCTGCTTCAGATTCTGTGCCTGTCTCTTTCTGCCCCTCCCCACCCCTCTCTATCAAAAATGAATAAACATCAATTTGGTTAAAAAATAAAGATTTAGACATACAAACTAATAAAATTTTCTTAGTCTCCTTTATTTATCTTTTGATTATTTAATCATGTGATAGCATATACTAAAAATACAAATATCTCTTAGTAGTAAAACTACAGAGAAACCTGTTAGACTAGAGAATACCAGATTATGAAAATGCTTATTTAAATAAGTGCTGCGGCTAAATATAAAAATATTAGCCTACACTAACAATGAGTATGTGAGCACATGAGTATTTTTGTATTAAAGTCTAGATTTCATAATATGGTGTATAAACATTCCAACAGGTAGCATGATAGTGAGTTGGAATTATATTACCATTCTTGCAGTGAACCCATGCTTACAATGAATTCTTTGAATGTTCCTAATTACATTATTTATAAGATGATGACTCACAGATAATGGTTGAAAAAGCAAGCTTAGTTATTATTTGGATGAATCATACTATACAACATTAACACCTATTCAGCACAAATATAAATAAAACCATATAAGAAACAGTTATGTAAATCAAGCTAAGTGGCATGGGAATGATATGACAACCTTTTAACTGTTATAGTAGATATTTTTTTTAAATAGTCAAGGAAGATTATTGCATGTATTAATTACATGCAAAAACAAAACATTTCGGTGGTATTATACTTGCTGTGCAATAAAATTAATAAACTGTACAACAAATGTTTGAAAAGTATCAGAGACAAAAAATTATTAGCATTAGGTGTTTTGTTAATAAAGGCAAAATAATATTTATATAAAAACAAGAAAAAAGCCCAGACAATCTCTGCTTCAGACTCAGAAGAACATAGCTTGAGCCAGGGAGGAATGAGGCCAACCAGAGATGCTGCAATTAATCTATTGAAATGCAGCTTAAAGTAAACCCACTTGGTATCTTAATTCTTTTTTTCCTTCCCAAACAGGTTTTTAAAAAAGAAAAAAAAATCCATTGCAGCATTTTGTTCTCCAAATGTCACTGAAATTTATTTAAAAGAAAGGGCTTAGAAATTATCAAAAGGAAAAAAAAAAAGACTGTGGTAGTCATGCCTCTAAAACTCCTAAACTGTCAGAAATATAAAATCTCATTAGTAAGTGTCAAGTCTACAGGAAACTTTACATTATTATTACATTATCATAATAGTGTGAGATTATACTATAATATAAATAATATAAATATATCATAGTATAGAAATAATATAATAATATAGAAATGGTATTAAGATATTATATACTTCAATAATATATTTCAATGGTCTTAACACAGATTCAATTGTATCAAATTTGAGAACATAAAATAATTTCACATTTTGATTTTTTAAAACTTGATTACCATAATAATCATTATATATAGACATATATGTAAAAATATGCATATACTTATGGACATTGAAAGAATAAGATCTACATGTATAGCTATATAGATATAGACAGAGGCAGAGATAAAGAGATCTATACATACACTGAACAAAATACTGTATACAATTGATCAATTTATTTAGATCTTTTGGGGGGCTCAAGAAATACTTTTTGATCACTAGCTGCACTATTAGCAGTGGTAAATGAGGTTGATTTAAAATGTGAAAATTATAACTCTGGCACAGTTTTCAGGATGATGCCTTCTTCTCTGCCTTCTGAGATAATCTAAATTAAACACACACACACACACACACACACACACACACAAATACAATTTCTCAATGCTCACATGATTAGCTTCTTAGACACATAGATTGTTTTACAATTATAATACCAAAAATAATAAAGAAAAAAATTTTGCACATTTATGGACCTTTGTTATTATTGTGTGGATGGAGTCAGTGTTTGTATTTGACCGTTTTAATCAGGTCTTCTTTCAATTATATAAAGATGGTAGTTTTTTTTATTGATATGGGCATTACATTTTTGTGTCCCTCTTTGTCATTTGGAGTTTCAGAATCTGAATTTTAAATGTTATTAATTTCAAAGAAATTCGAGTGTGAATTACGAAATTTTAATAAAACTTTGATTTCCATAAGCAATCTCTTCATGTCATCAATAAATATTTTTTAAATGTCAAATATTGCTTTTTCTTCTACCTTTTCCAGTAATTTCTCAGCATTAGTTCTCTTAATTTCACTATTTTTGTCCACTATCAAAATGCAACTAATCTGATCATGTCAACATATTTATCATCACAAGTTGTTAATCAATTAACAAATAATAGATGTGCATTGAGTAATACCTGAGTGTTAAATTCCTTCAAACTATCTTCTCCCACACGATATATTATCAGCTACTGGTTCTCTCTATTGACATTGTAATTCAGGTATAGAGAAGGAATTTCTTCGTTATTCACTTTCCAGAACTTGTGTGTTATATGTCTGCAGCCTTCTCTTCCAGTTTTTCCCATAGTTCTTTATAGGGGTCACAGATGTGTTCATTTTCACAATTTTTAAGATAAATGACAACTGCTGTATTTTTGTTACTTAGTATTCTATGAACAGATTGTTCAAATTCTCTTCTGAATTGTGTAGAGGAAGAAACCATGAGGCAGAAAGGACCACAGAAGGGACCATGGAAACAGAAAAATACAATAACAGAAGTCTAAGCTGGCCATGAATAGAACAGTGCGTATTTCAGAAAATACACAAGCTTGTATTTCCTCCTCTAACCAAGGTAGAAATTATATCTGTCATAAATTGACTACTACTTAATTCCACTTTTGGTGGGTCTATGTATGGTGGAGAAATATATATATATGCCTGGGACAAACTTCCTCTTGAAAATATTAAATCTTCTAGGGTGCCCGGGTGGCTCAGTTAGTTAAGCCTCCGACTTTGGCTCAGGTCATGATCTCACATTTCTTGAGTTCAAGCCCCACTTCAGGCCCCTGTGCTGACAGACCCGGAGACTGCTTTGGATTCTGTGTCCCCTTCTCTCTCTACCCCTCCCCCACTAGTGCTCTATTTTTCTCTGCCTCTCTCTCTCTCAAAACTAAACACTAAAAACATTTAAATACTAAATCTTCTTTGCAGACACTTGATAATGAATCTTTCCAAAGTGAAATGATTTCTGCTTTTCCATTCCACTTATTTCTATTCTAAATTGAAAACTGAAATATCTCCAAGCATTTTCTGTTTTTTTTTTTTTTGATAAAACCTTAATAGTGGTAGCAGATTTATTAGTTTTCATAATTGGTAGGGTTAATTATAACTACTGTGTTTTAATTAATTATCATAAATAAAATATAATACTTGATGCATGAGGCTTTTAAAACTCCCTAATCACCTCTCTTTCAGAAATCAATATGCAGAGCAAGGGTACAATCATAAGCATCCAATTTCTCTTGCGGTTTCTTCTGCTCTGGGTGCTCATTGGGAAGTCACACACGGAAGAAGACATCATAATTACAACCAAGAATGGAAAAGTCAGAGGGATGAACTTGCCAGTTCTTGATGGCAAGGTGACAGCCTTTCTGGGAATTCCCTATGCACAGCCACCTCTTGGTAGACTTCGATTCAAAAAGCCACAATTCTTGACCAAGTGGTCCGATATTTGGAATGCCACAAAATATGCAAATTCTTGCTATCAGAATGCAGATCAAAGTTTCCCAGGCTTCCCTGGATCAGAGATGTGGAACCCAAACACTGATCTCAGTGAAGACTGTTTATACCTGAATGTGTGGATTCCAACACCTAAACCAAAAAATGCTACTGTAATGATATGGATCTATGGTGGTGGTTTTCAAACCGGAACATCATCTTTACCTGTTTATGATGGCAAGTTTCTGGCTCGGGTTGAAAGAGTTATTGTAGTTTCAATGAACTATAGGGTGGGTGCCCTAGGATTCTTAGCTTTACCAGGAAATCCTGAGGTACCAGGGAACATGGGCTTATTTGATCAACAGTTGGCACTACAGTGGGTCCAAAAAAATATAGCAGCCTTTGGTGGAAATCCTAAAAGCGTAACTCTCTTTGGAGAAAGTGCAGGGGCGGGTTCAGTTAGCCTTCATTTACTTTCTCCTAGAAGCCAGCCATTGTTTACCAGAGCCATTCTGCAAAGTGGATCCTCTAATGCCCCTTGGGCAGTAATGTCTCTGGATGAAGCCAAGAACAGAACACTGACCTTAGCTAAATTTATTGGTTGCTCTAAAGAAAATGACACAGAGATAATCAAATGCCTTCGAAACAAAGATCCCCAGGAAATTCTACTGAATGAACTATTGGTTGTCCCCTCTGATACTCTTTTATCTGTAAACTTTGGTCCAGTCGTGGATGGTGATTTTCTCACTGATATGCCAGACACACTACTCCAACTTGGACAGTTCAAAAAAACCCAGATCTTGGTGGGTGTTAATAAAGATGAAGGGACAGCATTTTTAGTATATGGTGCTCCTGGTTTCAGCAAAGATAATGACAGTATCATAACTAGAAAAGAATTTCAAGAAGGTTTAAAAATATATTTTCCAGGAGTGAGTGAATTTGGAAGGGAAGCGATTCTTTTTTATTATGTGGACTTGTTAGATGATCAGAGAGCTGAAAAGTACCGTGAGGCCTTGGATGATGTTCTTGGAGATTACAATATCATATGCCCTGCATTGGAGTTCACCACAAAATTCTCAGAATTGGGAAATAATGCCTTTTTCTACTATTTTGAACACCGATCTTCCCAACTTCCTTGGCCAGAATGGATGGGAGTGATGCATGGTTATGAAATTGAGTTTGTCTTTGGTTTGCCTCTGGAAAGAAGAGTTAACTACACAAGAGCTGAGGAAATTTTGAGCAGATCCATCATGAACTACTGGGCAAATTTTGCAAAATATGGGTAAGTGTTGATTTTTGGAATTGTTTTGATTGTGATTGCTTTTGCTTAACTCTGCTTGCTCTGTGGTGTAGACTTCATTAAAGGCACAGACATGTTTTAGTTTTTTATTCTTTTTGTACCATAAGCTAGTTTTGGTTTTTATTATGTAATGAATTTCAATTTCTTGCATCAGGGTACTTAACATAAATCATCAAATGACTTTTACAAAAAAAAAAAAAACATTTTCTGATTTCATTTCCAAAATACTGTGAAGTACTTCAGTAATATTAGCCAAAGTTTGTATGGAAGTGGATGTTTACCTTGAAAACTAAAGCTCTTGTCACCATACTCTTGAACCTGAAATGTATAATGTTTACAGGTTTAGGGAAGAGCAGGAATATATCTTCTCTTCATGCTTCTAAGCAGAGGTAGTGAAAAAACACATTCCTGATCAGGAAAATCAAAGGGCAAGATGGTGATGGAGTTGGCCCTCAGATTACTCCAAATACAAATGCAGAGTTTGGCATTTTATCAATTTTTCCCCTACTAGGTTTGTTCAGAGTTTTCAAGTGATCTGTATTGGACAAGGGCGTCTACAAGGGTCCCCATGTTTAGCTAAGCTGTTTTGCATTTGGGCAGTCATATAGCTAACATTAGATAACCAGACATATGACAAAAGAACCCATTTTTCCTCATCTGTTATAAATATTGTGATATTATATCCTCAAGAATCAGAAGAAAATAATCTGTTCACATGTATTTTCTAATTTGTGTATTTCTCAAATATATAAATGCATGTGCACTGATATAAGGGTTTTTTTTTTTGTAATCCTAAAAAGAATTTTCTATATTGGGATACCTTGTATCCATGGGAAGAACAAAACAAATAGAAATTTGAGCACCTATGTTTAAAAGAAATACTTATAGACACACAAATTGATGGATGTGCTAATCCAATCTGTCATAATATCTTTTATAACTGAAAAAATGTTGATACTAGTATTATTGCATTCCGGTTTTCTTTTCCAACCTCCATTTGAAATTCATTGTACTTCATGTCACTAT